GTGATGGGTTGTGGTTAGTATTTGGGTGGTGAACATGGTATAATCTATGCAGAAATAGAAGTATAATGATGTACACCTGAAACTTATACAATGTTATAAACCAATGTTACTGCAATAAACAAAAAATTTAAAAAAATCCCTAAAAAAAAATTATGAACTCTTATAATTAAACATATTTGATGGATTTTAATCAGTTTCAATTATTATCATTAATAAAGCTCAAATTATTCCATCTTTGGCCAGTGGGAGCCTTTCGAAATTGTCTCCTGAGTCCTAGAATCAACCGTTTCTTTAAGAAGCCCTGATCTCTAAGGGATACTCATTGATACTGGATTGGTCATTGTTTCTAGGCGTTTTCTTGTAAACAGAACTCAGAAATATATGCACATATTCGAGATAAAATAAAAATTCCTCACAAGTTTATAGTGATGCTTCCAATTAAAACTTTAGACTATAATGCATTTAAATCTTCCTTCTGTATCTCCTTTTCTCTGTGCCACAAGTGATTATAGAATTAGAAAAATCCCATAATTATTCATTTATTTTTATGCCATATTACACATGCAACAATCTCAGAATGGTGACACTAATGCTACTGAAAACATTATGATTACTGAAAACATTAAAAGACATACTTTTGTATACACTCTTGCCATCTTTATAACATTTAGGACTGGCGATGTCTTCTGAGACATCATTTGTTTAGCAACGTAAAATATTTGTTTAGCAACATTTTAGAGCCCTTTCTCTGTCTCAGACTCCCACTAGAAAGGAGGTACAAAGAGGAGTAAGACATGGCCCTGTTCTTTAAAAGCTGGGTTATTGGGTTGTATTGTGTCATTCTGGTATAGGAAGGTGTGGCCCTAGAATCTGGGATTTTATTTCTTCTTCAAAAGTAATGTTAGTGATTTTAATTGTATGTTTCCTGAAATAAAACACTTTCACTTTCTACTCTTGTCAGGGAGCAACTTCCATTGGGTGGAGTTCCTTGATACTTTCTAATCTCCCTTACCCAGTGTATTAGGTACTCCAGAGAAATAGAACTAGTAGGATATATATATATGATTATAGACTATCACATCTTTTGTGGATGCAAAATATATATAGAGAGAGAGTGTGTTTATTTTAAGTAATTGGCTTACATGATTGTGGAAGCTGATAAATCTGAAATTTGTAGGGTAGGCCAGCAGGCAGGAAGTTGAGGTAAGAGTTGATGATGCAGTCTTGAGTCTAAAATTTGCAGGGCATCACAGCAAGCTGGAAACTCAGACTGGGTTTCTATGTTGCAGTCTTGAGGCAGACTTGCTTCTGGGAATTGAGCAAGTTCAGTCTTTGCTCTTATGCTTTCAGCTAATTAGATGAGGCCCACAAAATTATGGAGAATAATCTGCTTTATTTAAAGTCAGTCAGTTGTAAATGTTAATCACATCCACAAAGTCCTTCATAGCAACATGTAGACTAGTGTTAGACCAAACAAGTATCTAGCCATAATCTAGCCAAGTTGACACATAAATACACTTTAGGCACACATAGACACATCACACTTAGGTTAACTGTTTAATTTATTGCCCAAACAGATTCTTTTGAGAATAAGAAGTACTGAAAAATAATAAAACTTATATATAATTTTGTTGATAAATTATCATATTGGTAAACCTATAAAATAGTTCTAGTTAAGAAGCTATTTTAAAAATAAATTTATTTCTAATAGATATTAACATATTTCCATGTACACTTAATCAAAACAAAACTATTCCATATTGATTTTCTCAACATTAAAAAGAACATAAATAGAATTCTCAGTAAAAGTTCACATACATTATTTAGTTTCTTAGTCATAATTTGTATCTGATACTGGGTCTCTGTATTTTTCTGAAAGAAATGTAGTTTTGAAATATGGTTGTATGATTTTTAATTGTTTCATAAAATTATAGTCTTCCAAGTTTCATTTTATAGTTAGTAAATTTGAAATTGTTGATTATTTTCAACAGTTACTATTCACAGTAAATCATAATTTTTAAATTTGAGAATATAATATCTCTGTAGGTACTGAGGTACCTAAGTTCAAAACAAATTCTAATAAATTGAGGTTATTCTAAATTTTGATTATTATTTTTTTTTGTGAGGAAGATTGGCCCTGAGCTAACACCTGTTGCCAATCCTTCTCTTTTTGCTTGAGGAAGATTGGCCCTGAGCTAACATCTGTGCCAGTCTTCCTCTATTGTTTGTATGTGGCTTGTCGCTGCCACAGCAGGTCTGTTCCAAGGACCCAAACCCCTGAACCTGGGCCACTGAAGCAGAGCCCGCCAAACTTAACCACTGTGCCACCAGGTCGGCCCCCAAATTTTGATTTTTTTAATAGTTTAATATGAAAATATTCCAGCCCACAAATTTTCACAGGTACTGTTTTTTTTTTTTTTTTTACTCTATTTAGAGTCCCTTTATTCAATAAAACTTTTAAAGACAAAGCTTGTCAGATAAGTTGTATCTATTTAGGAGTCTTTTGAACATTTTACCAAATTTAGATGCTGCTAGATTGTGAGCGTTTTGAAGTTTATTTCATCCTGGTACATAATATAACCTTATCTAAATAAAAAAATAGGTTGTCTGTATAAATTAAATCTTGAATTAAAGATTTCCAACTGACTGAACAAAGTGAAGCCAAGATTTAGAGTGTTCGGTTGAAAAAGTTCAGTGCTATTTGATGGTTTTATAAAGTAAGTCTTAAAAGCCTTAAAGATTTCTAAGACGTAGGAAAAAGATAAAACATGTACTGCCGTGGTGATGTATTTGATTTTTATTCAACATTATCTTTGTCACAAAAAATATTTTAGTTCAGTTTCTTTAACTCTGTGTGTGTATGTGTTTAAATATTTGTAAATTTGGATTGCTAGACTATCACGTCTTTGGTAGATGCAATTATGAAGTATATTTGCTTGTACTTTGATTGGTGGTATATTGCAGTTTACATGGCACAGTTGTGAGTTATATGTGAATCACAGCCATGTCCAAGTTTATTTCTGTTCCATAATTTTCTTAATAGGAATGTTGTTGTTTACTCTGTGATGCTGTGCTCGACCAAAATTTGTAGTTGTGTTATTACTGTAAAAACAAATACAGTCTGTTGTCATTGTTCACAGATTCCATTTTGTGAATTCTACTTACAAAAATTTATTTGTAACCCCAAATGCTGTGCTCATGGCGCTGTTGTAGTCATTCACAGACACTTGCAGGGTGACAAAAAATTTGGATTACTCAACACGCACATTCCCAGCTGAGATAAAACAAAGCAATTCTTTGCCGTTTTCTGTCAGCTCTTATACAGTAAACAAGTGCCCTTTTTGTGGTGCCACATTTTTTGCATTTTTGTGCTTCTTGTTGATTTCACTGTTTAAAATGGCTCCCAGACATAGTGCTGAAGTGCTGTATGTTGTTCCTAACTGCAAGAAGGCTGTGATGTGATGTATTTTGTGGGGAAAACACATGTTTAAATAAACTTCATTCAGGCATGAGTAGTGCTGTTGACTGTGAGTTCAGTGTTGGTGAATCAACAAAATATGTTATATTTAAAGTCTCTTTAAACAGAAACACACATAAAACAAGGTTACGTTTGATCAGTTGATCCGGTTGTGTCCAGAGGCTCATAGGAACTTAACTCTGTATTTTCTCTAAGAGCCATGGTTTAGTATTTGCTAATTCAGTGTTCATGGTGACTTTATAAAATTCATTTACTGTGAGTAATGAAAACTGACTATAATTTTATCTTGTTGAACTTTTTAACTGAGTTTAAGTGGCAGTTAACAGCAGTGGCAGGTGTTTTACCTTCTACAGAATGCACTTCCAGAAGCTTTACTTTTGATTCTGTAAATTGGATGAAAACAATCAAACCATTATTGGAATTAACTGATTTTTCTATTTGATGTATCTCCTGACACTGATAGAAAGCTGGCATCATTTAAGTGTGAATTTCTTCTGCTAATAGAGCCAACAAAATAACAGCTGTCACTTAACTTTGACTATGTAAACAAGATTTGTAATCAGAACTGAGCGAGATGAATTTAAAGAACAGTCATTTGATCTAGATGAAAAGTCATGCTTTAGAGAGTAATATATAAAATACCTTCTGCAGCTGCTTTTCTTAAATAGATGTCTTTGAGCAGGGGCAGCAGCACTTCCAGTATTTATTCTTCTCCACCCAAGACTGAAGGAGGTAGCTGTCCCTAGCTACTCCTGTCCGAGTGCACTTCGTTTTTCTGCAGGTGGCTTGGGTGCTGTCTTTGAGAATGAGGTGTCAGTTGCAGCCCATCCAGAGATGGCTTACTGCTCAGGGTCTTTCAGATTTAAGCACATGTTAAATCGGCAGCTGGGTTCACTGTACGTGTATTTCACACTGCTCGACGAGATCATGGCAGAGCCTGGAAATAAAAGTCCCGGCTTATAATGCTACCATAAAAAAAGGAAAAATCGCTAGAAAATGGAAAATCCAGGACAAATAATAAATTGGGTGGGGGACTGGGACAATGGGCATAAATTGGGACTGTCTCAGGCAAACTGACACGCATGGACACTTTACCAGACACGTCTTTTTAAAAATCTCTTAACCCCAAACTCTTGGTTACTATTTTCCAGTCAAAAAGGCTGTGCCCTCAATATGATTCACTTGTTTGTGACTATTTAGTAATTTCCACAGCATTATGCACATGGAAAAGAATGTGAAGCATTCTTCTTAGTTTTATTCATTGTGGCATTTCTTTTTTTCTAGAACATTTTCTGTTCATCTTAAAACTTTTATTAAATTTTGCATGCCTTCATTTTTAAACTAAAGACAATAAATTTGTGGAATTATTCTCCCTTAAATTAGTTCTTTTGTTATCTTAATAAAAATATCTATAGCACTTAACAATGAAAGTTGGGAATGAAAGGAAAGCAGTTTTTACATATGTTTGATGAAAATGGATTATCTGAATATGATTATAATAATACTTTATATTCTATTGCAGGATTAATTAAAAGGATTTGCCGTATATCTTATGACTCTTTACTGTAGCTGCGGGAGATAGGTAAGTGACAAGCATTTTTTGAAGAGATATTGCTGAAACATTAAATAATTTGATCTCGTAGGTTCCTGACAAAGTAGGCAATGGGGCATATCTTACTTCAGTGATTTACCTCTTTTTCTCCTCAATAAAACGTTAGTAGAAATATCATCTTTATGTGAATTTTAATATAACATTTCCCTAATATCCAAGAAATCCCTGTTTTCCAGGGAGCTGTAGGTTTATTTTCTATAATAATTTTAATGAGGACATTGTTAATAAGACACACGAGTTTGGCATGTTCCAAAACTTAAAGCACTAAAACAAAAAAAAATCATTAAATGCAATGTGGTACCCTAGATTGGATTTAGAACTGAAAAAGGACATTAGTGAAAAAGCAAGTGAAATCCAAATAAAGTCTGTAGCTTAGTTAGTAGTAGGGTACCAACATTAGTTTCTTAGTTTTATCAAAACCATGGTTATATAAGATGTTAACTTTAAGGGAAACTGGGTGAGGGGTATATAGGAACTCTGTAGTATCTTTGCAACTTTTCTATAAATCTAAAATTATTCCAAAATAAAAATTTATTTAAAAGCAGAAAAAAAATCAAGGCTTATTTATTTGAAAATTATAGTTTAGAAGTAGCTTTTCTGTGTAATAGTTTGAAAAATGAAAATTATTAATTACCTTTAAAAAATCCAGATTCCATGAAATAGAGGTGCAGGGAAATATGTGACTATAGGTTTCATTTTTCAATTGCTAAGAGGTGTGGAATTTCGTTTTTTGGCCACTGGCATGGTGTCCGTGAACATCTTGTACTTGGCTACAGACTTGCTTTTTGATTCCTTTAAGGTACTTGTGTGTTCTTTGGTAGTTTAATACAGCACTTTCTATTAACACAGGCAGATCCTTTAAACGATTCCCAGTATAGTGCTTTTTTCTTTTTCTTTTCTTTTCTTGAATGTACTGTTAGAGGCAAAAAGGCTAGTGATGTGACTCAGTGGTTTGGAGTTGAGACCCTCTTCAGTGTAGTTTTGTTCAGTGGCACCTACTTGAGCTTCTAGGTCAAGTACTAGACACGGTTGACCTATTGTTAAAGAGTATGAATAAAGATGAGCACAGCTCTTAAATAGCCAGCTCTGTAATTGAGCTAAAATAATTGATTGCTGTCAGATAATAGAAATTCTCAGTTTCCAAAATGAACTCTAGCAGTATAACTCTTTTAAATTTCCATAAATATTAAAAGACTATAAGAAGGGAACTCTGTAGTTTGCTGAAACTGTTACATAACTTTTCATTAATAAAAGTAAAATAGCCATGCTGGTCTTATAAATGGTTTCCTGCTTCTGTTGCCAACTTCAATGATTTTAGTTAAACTGAAATTTCATAAAGGGAAATAGAAATACATTATACTTAAAGGATATAGACATTTAAAACAACACACCCAGGCCTAAATGACTCTTGTTATTGTTGACTCAGAATAATTGTTAGGTTTGGAGAGTTCTGTTTTGCTTGATGATATTTATTCAGAATTGGTGTTATCAGTCTCATACTTAAGAGAATTTACATCTTTACTTTTTAGTCGTGTAACATATTCTGCTAACCGTAGTAGGGAAGTTTGGAAAAAGGGAGGGGACTTTTTTCTGGACAAGTTTAAATTCCATTTGAATATAATAGTTCACACATAAAAAACGAACACACCAAAAACCCTTTTATTTTTCTTCTCTGCTAGAAGAGCATTAAAAGTGTTGTTTTTAGAGATATGCTTACCATTCAGCTGGCTGACTGTCCTTTTGTGGTCATCTAAAGTATAAATGACAATAGCTAATATGTATTGAGCACTTTCTATGTACCAGGTACTTTATTTCCAGTGATCTCATTTAATCTTCACAAACTCCTATGAGATAGGCTGGAATTCCCTTTACAGATGAAGCTGGGAGAGTAACAAATGTCTCCAGGCTAACCCTGAGGGTATAAGGCAGAAAGAACAAGTGCCCATGGTGTGCAGTACCTATAGTTTGGGCTATAATGTTATCAGGTTGCAGGAAATCCTGAATCCATGGACACATGGCAAACTTCAGCCTACTTCAACCTTTCTGTGTAAAAAGGGTGTCTGATCACACTGGGTGACCTAGAGCAGATTCCCCTGGGGTAACTAGCTGGAGCACAGTCTTTGGTTCCCTGTTCCAGCCTTGATCTGGCTCATTCTACAGTTCCCTAACATCTCACTTGTTCTCCGCCACCTGGTTAATTTCTAAACATTCACTCGTTGTATGCTTCATTGATCCTATGCCAAGAACTTTTGGCAGCTCTGAGGAACATGATCTCAACATGCCTCCTGGTCAGTGTTGGGCAACTAGAAGTTGTTAGTTGGGATGAGAACTTGGATCCAGAAGCTAGGGCACGTGCCAGAGGCCAGGGATGGGGTAGTTGAGCAGCTGACAGGTGAAATACAGCTATCCAGACTCAGTCAATAGGTCAGGAGTCAGAAATAGAGTAGGCACATGACTTTGAAAGGTGGTTTTTGAAGAAGACTATGATGGCTGGCTATGGACTTTGTAGTTTGTACACATAAAATAATTCCAACTGCTTTTTGAGGAAGAGTAATAATGTTACCAACTTATAATAATGCTCATTAAACTTAGCCGAAATCTCTCTCCTGTAACTTTTCCCCATCAGTTCTTGCTTTGTCTTTCTGTAGCTCTCAATCTTCAGTCCTTCTTACACATGAAAGCATAAAACACACATAAAATTACAAAATCTCTTTTGCTACCTCCTCTTCTTCGTGGTCTCCAAAAGTTGGCATTCTTCAGGACTCAGTCCTTGGCCACCTACATTTATTCTCTGTGTAATCTCATGTGATCCCTTGCTTTAAATGCCATCTATCCTCCCAAATTTATTTCTTTACCTGGTCTCTCCCATGAGCTCCAGGCTCATATCTATGTCTGCCTATTCAACATCTCTATTTGAAAGTCTAATAAGTATTTCAAACATGTCTGAAATAGAACTTGTGAACTCTCCTCCTCAAACCTATTCCTGCCTCCTCCTTCATCTCAGTAAATGGCCTACCCTGTTGCTGAGGCCAAAAACTAGAAGTCATCTTTGGCTTTTCTCTTTCCTTCATACCCCACATCCAGCCCATCAGTAAGGCTTATATGCCCTCCTTTCAAAATATATCCTAAATCCCCCTTTGCTGCTGCTGCCTTCCCCACTACTGCCCTTATATAAGTAAGTTACTGTCATAAGTTACTTAGATGATAGTAATAGTCTTCTAATTGGCCTTCCTTATCTCCTCCTTGCACCTCTCTAGTCAGTTCTCCATATAGGAGAGAAGTGTTTTGTTTTGTTTTTTACATGTTAAACAGTTCCTCTCATTCCTCTGTTCAGAACCCTTCAGTGGCTACCCATCACACTCAGGGTAAAACCCTGAGTCTCAACGTGTTCTCCCAGGCCCTCCCTGACTTTATCTGTAAAGCCTGCTGACTTTATCTCCTACCATTCTCCATCTTGCTCACTTTGCTCTAGTCAGAATTGCCTTCTTGCTGTTTCTTAAATTCTTCAAGTCCATTTGGAATCAGCTAAATCCCTCCTACTCCCCTGCCCCACACCCTCATTCCAACCAGTTCAGCCTCTAGTCTAGTACCAGTGGAGGTAGATTTAGAGAGAATAAAAATGTGTATCCAAGGCTCTCTAGCACATGTAGTGGGAGATGTCACAGTAGGAATTTTGCAGCTTTATTATTCCAAGTTTCTGTAATTTGAATTGCTTTCCAGTGTGAGAGGAACTGGAGATTTAGAGCTACAGATAGACATAGCTAGAATCAATGGGGAAAAGTTACAGAGAGAGAGGTTTCTGCTCAGTTTAGTGAGCACTGTCCTGAATAAGTTGGTAACAGTTACATCTGCATGAAAATAGACTGGGCTGTTTCATAAGACAGTGAGTTCTCCATCACTGACAGTGTGTAAGTTGAGGCTGATCAACCTCCTGGAATGTCGTGGAGGAAAAAATGTGCTGGAATGGAGGAGGGGAGGCTTGATTTCTAAGGTCTTCCCAACTCTGAAATTATATCAGTTTTTAGAATCTTCTTTTTTTCAGAGCAATTCTTCTCAAAGTCCTCCTCAGATTCTTCCTCCTGTATTTGTATTGGGAAGCTTTCACTAATAAAATATAATTATAAATCACTTATAGGTGAAAGCTTCCAATATTTGAGGTAAAAGAAGAGCTATCAAGGTTGATTTCCAGTTGGATTGACCAAGTCTTCATCTAAGGAATTTACTTTGAGGTGTTTTTCTTTCTCTCATTTTTTATTTAAAATTTATTTTGATTGATTTTTGGTCTAAAATAAACAGTACATACATACACAAATTCTCTAATACATTTTAGTTATTTAAAAAAGTTCACTGAGTCTCGGAATTAAAGAGCACGATATTTGGAAATAGCCTTTGGTCAGAGTTTGCTAGAAATGGAAAATTCACCTCATCCTTACTCTTACCCAAAAAGCTTTTTGAGAAGTAATGACCATGTTTGAATGTTTCATGGAGGGTGATCCAGCCATTCCCTTATCTTCTCTTAGGCAAAAATGTGATTTAAGTAATAGAAATCTTTAAGTTATAAGTGCTTTCAGTTAGACCTGAATAAGGCTATTTATGCAAATTCAAGTTTCCTATAAGTGCTGAACTGTGGAACTTGGAATGATAGGAAAGAATGATTTTCAGTATCTCAGTGATACTAAAGTACCTCATATTTGATTGCTTCTGGTAGCTAGCACCTAAATAATAGGATGACATATCTAAAAGTTGCCTCCAGACGGACACAGCTTCCTTCAGCAGCAGGGCCTGCCCCACCCAAGCGTGCACCTGGCACACCATATGAAATCAGCATTCTGATGAATACGCCATTCTGACTCTGAACTCCTTAACATGCTTTGCTGCCCTCTTTCCCATTATACGTATTTCTTTCCTTTAGATTTGACTCCTCTTTCCAGGTTATTATTTTGATTTCACTCAGACAAAACTGCTGCTCT